TTATTGTCATTTTAATTTGTGGTTTCCTAACGACTCGCGATGTTGAGCATCTTTAAATCTGCTTATTTGCCCTCCGTATATCTTCTCTGTTTGAGGTGTCTGGTCGGATCTTTCGCCCAGTTTCTAACCATCCTTACTATTTTACAGTCTACTTAGAGTTACTGTTGTGCCACCTCACATTGGGACAGTACCCTTCTACTGACCTCTGAGCTGTGGCTGCCATGCATTTTTCTGCTACGTACATTTTAAATCCCATAATACAGTATTACAACTTTTGCTTTAAACAGCCAGTTGTCTTTGGAAGAAATTATGAAAATAAACGTAAAGAAAAATGTTTTAATAGTTGCCTACATGTTTACCGTTTCTTTTTTTTATTTTTTTTTTTTTAGACAAGGTCTCACTCTGTCGCGACATGGGGGGGGGGGGGCCCCCCCCTTGGGGAAAAAAAAAAAAAAAAAAAAAAAAAAAAAAAGTTTCTGTTCTATTTTAAGAGATGAGAGAGAAATTAAGTTGGGAGGGCGGCAGAGGCGACCACCCCCCAATATATAGTGGGGAGGGGGGGGCGGAGCCAAATTCCCCCCGCCCCCCAAAAAAAAGGCCCAACCCGAAACTTAGGCCGGCCGGCGAGTGCCGCGCCTCCGCCCCCGCTCTTGTTGCATGCCTATAGCTCAACCAAACGCCAGCATACGTCTGGCGCACGGCCAACCCCTCAGCGCACGGACAGGCAATGCCCACACCTCCCCCCTGAGTGTCCCAGGACAGAGTTGAGGTGCTGTGAGCTCATGGCAGGCTGACGCGGCAAATCCCCTGGGGGGCCCCCCCCCCTCAAAAAAGACGGAATCCCCCCTTTTCTTGGCCTCCAAAAGGGCCGCCGTTCGCCGCCCCGGAGTTGTTTAAAAAGCCCCCCCGCCGCCCTTGGGGGGGGGGGGGCGGGGGAGCTTTAAACAGGGGGCCAACTGTGGGGGCCCCAAAAACCCCCACCCCACAAATGCCCCCCCCCCGGGGGGGGGGGGGCCCCCCCCTAATTTTTTTTTTTTTTCCCCCTTTATTACAAAATAAAAAAAAATTTGGGGGGGGGTTTATTAATTATTATTATAAAAATAATTTTTTTTTTTTTTTTTTTTTTTTTTGAAGGAAAAAAAGGGGGCGGGAAACCAGAAGGTTCCCCTTCCCAAAACCCCCTTTTTTTTTTTTGGGGGGGGTTTTTTTGGCCCCCAAAAGGGGGGGGGGGCCCCTTTAGAAAGTGAAAAAGGTTTGGGGGGCGTTTGGGGGCCCGGGTCCAAGCCTAAGCTTCACAGCAACGCTCAAAAATTCTCCCCTTGGGCTTCATGTGATCCTTCCTGCTCAGGCCCCAATAGCTGGGAAAAACCCTTAATAGGCCATGCCGCCCCCAAAACCCCCCCATGCCCGCCCCGGCCTAAATTTTTTTTTTTTTTTTTTTTGGTTTTATATAATATTTTTTTTTTTTTTTAGTCGGTCAATAAATTCTTTCTATTTTAGTCAGAAGACGGGGTGCCTCGCGTCATGGTTGGTTTCGAACTCCCCTGACCTCGAGGCAATCCGCCCGCCATTCCGGGCCCTCTCCAAACAAAGTTGGCCTAAAGGGGAAATTTTTAAGAAGGTTTATAAGAAAATATTTTTTATTTTTTTTTTTTTTTTTTTTAAAGTTTTTTTTTTTTGGGGGCCCAATTTTTTAAAAATTTTTTTTTTCTTTTTTTTTTCTTTCTTAACTTTTTTTAAGTAAAGAGGGAAGCTTTTTTTTTTTTTCCGGCTCCCTTTGGGGTTTTTTCAGGCGCCCCCTTGAAAAAAAATTTTTTTTGAAAAAAACTCCTGGGAAAAAAAAAACCCTTATCGATTTTTCCTCCACCTCAAAAAGCCTTCAAACCCAGAAAAAGCTTTTAAAGGAAGCCCCAAAAAAAACAGGGTTGGGGGGGGGGGGGTTTTGAAAAAAAAGCCCCAAAAACCCGGCAACCTGGGGGGCCCCCTCATTTTTTTTTCCTTGGAATGCTTTTTTTTTTTTATTTTTTCCTTCCTTGGCCCCCTTGGTTTTTTCCCCATCCTCCCAAAAACAACTTTTTTTTTGTTAAAATTTTCGCCCTAAAATGCCTTTTAAGGCCCTTGGGGAAAAAGAAAAAACTTTTTTCTTTTTTCTGTTTTTTTTTTTTTAACAAATTTTTTTTTTTTTTTTGCATTGCAGGAAAAAATTTTCCCTGGGTTTTTAGTGTTTTTGACTTTGGGGAAATTCGCGCTCCCGTTCTTTTTTTTTTTTTTTTTTTTTCTTTTTTTTTTTTTTTTTTTTTTTTTGCTTTTTAGTTGGAAAAAAAACGTTGTGGTCCCTTTTTTTTTCCTTTTTTTTTTTGGCTTTCAATTTTTTTTTTGAAATGAAATTTTCGTTTTTTTTTTTTTTTTTTTTTTTTCAGCCTAATTTAGAAATTCTCATTCACAAGGAAAAAAAAATTTTTTTTTTTTTTTTTTTTTGGGTTTTTTTTTTCTTTTAAAGAAAATTTTTTTTTAAAAAAAAAAAAATGTTTTTGAAAATTCCCCCCATTTTTTTTTTTTTTTTACCCCCAGCTTTCCCCCTTTAAATTGGGGTTTTTTTTTTTTTTTTTTTTTCGATGAGGAAAAGTTTTTTTCCCCAGGGGGGGTTTTTTTTTTTTTTTTTAAAAATTTTTTTTAAAGCCATTCCCAATTCGCCCCTTTTGGTATGGGAAAAAATGGGTTTTTTGTTCCTTTTTCTCCCTTTTAGCTTTTTTGGCCTTTTTTTTTTTTTTTTAAAAGGGGCCTGTTTTTTTTTTTTTTTCTTTTTTTTCGCCCTGTAATCTTTTTGGGGGGTTTTTTTTTCAAGCAAAAATGTTGGGGGCCTTTTACGGAATTCTTTTTGAATTTTTTTTCGTTCCTGATTTTTTTTTTTCCCCCTTTTTTTTTGTTTTTTTTTTATCCTTTCTTCTTTTTTTTTTTGTTGGTTTTTTCATTTTTTGAAAAGTTTTTTTTTTTCCAATGGGGAAAAAAAAAACTTAAAATAAAAATGTTGGGGGTTTGGGTTTTTTTTATTTAAAAAACCATATTTTTTTTGGTTTTTTTTGGTTTAAAAAATTTTTTTTTTTTTTAAGCAAAACATAATTTTTTCTTTTTTTTAAGTTTTGTAAATTTTATTATGCAAAGGCAAAACAAAAAAAAAAACCCGCAAATATTTTTTTCTCCAACTAAATTACAAATGTGTCTATTAAAGAAAAAAAAAGTTTTTTTGCTTTTGTTTTTACGTTTCCTCAAGGGTTTTTTTTTTTTGGGGGGCTGGGGGCTCCTTTTTGTTTTTTTTC